TTCTACCGAACAACCGTTTCAATATATCGCGCGCTCTACGATAACCCGACGATGGTGGAAGCATTATGCATTCCTCTATGGCCTCTCGAGCCTTGCCTTTACAATAATGTAACAAGTACAACAGCCGTTGACCATCGTCTTCAACCTTGGAAACCACATATAAATCAAATTGTCTAATAAATTTCCAGTATTTAGCTGGTTGTCCTTCAAAGGTACTTAGCTCTACCTTTGGAAGTTCAAGACCTACACTAAGAGATTCCAAGGTCACTTCCTTCCTCTTCGTTTCCGGATAATCTAGCAGTTTTGACTTTTCTAGAGACTTTGTCCTAAGGTTATGAGGACTTACGAACCTGTGACCGTGCTCCTTTTCTCTGTCATCACAGTTAGAAACAGAAGATAACTTACTACACACGCTTTCGTTCAGCCTTAACGACCCAAACTCTCTCTGAAAGCGCAGTAGTTGTTTCGTCTGCCTATCTTTCAAGTCTCTCATTTCTGATAACTGTCTTTCCTTCAACTCTGCTAAGGTTATCCTAGAGCTAACTTTACTACGTCTACTTACTAAACTAACATTAGAGCCATGACATGAAAATGCATCTAATTTGACTTGCCGTATATCTGGAGGTGCGTCCGATTGCATTTCTCCGTGGCCCAATGCCAAGTTTTCGTTGACCTTATTGCGCTTTCCAGGCATTCCAGAATTTGTCACTTGAGATTACTGTTCGTTTGAGAACTGTAACGACCGAACAGCCAATATTCGGTTGGAACAACGGACTGACGAACCCAAAATTTATTCGATTAGACCAGACCAAGTTCCTCTGTATAGCTCACAACGCGTCTTTGAGATACTCGTATTATATTATATCAAAACACAAACTCTGTGCTCAATATAAACGGTTCTAATTAAGAAAACAGAACAAATTACATCAAAAATACAAAATACCTCAAACGGTACAGCCTGTGCTATACAGTCAGAAGTTTCTCTAACGCAAAGTAGCGCGCTAAACAATGAAAGAGACAGTTAATACTAAAGGGTTTGATACCTGAGAATCAATACAAATATTCCCAATAAGATGGGATCAAATATCTATCTGCAGGGATTGCAGCAATTCTCCCAAGCAGACAGTCAGAGGGTTAACAGTCACAAAATGAACCACGCCGTGACCTTGAGCTTAGTCAAACACAACCTTACTGTCAATGGTCCGGCAACATGCAATAGAAAATTAGGTAACAAAAATAAGTCTTTAATCAAAATCACATAATAAAGGCTCAAACGGGGAAGACTGAAGAACAAAAGACATGGTTAAACGAGGTCGAAACAAAGGTTGGAATACACAAAAGAGAGAAGGAACAAATAAATGAAAATACTGTTCAACAAAGAAGCTGCAGAGGGATTTTCACTGTTCTTTTTCCGTTACAGACACATTAACCAATATATTTTATCACAACATCAAAAGTATCATAGACAACATCGCACCTTTAGAATACTGTAGATCTACGTTCAGTATAAGAAGACGTCTTCAAAGACATTGTACTCGATTCCACAACTTAAATGACTTTTCCTCTTTAGTAACGATGACAGAAATACTTGTCCGAACAGAGGCAATAAGTAAACAAAAAGCAGTAGCACAGGAAAAACGTGCAGTTGAACTTAATAATAATTCCTCTGCACTCACCATACTACTCCAAAATAAACTTAAACGCTCTAAATCGAGAGGGAGTATATTCATTAAAGGCAAACAAGTATACGAAGATCCCAAACTTATCACAGAATTATTCAGTGAACATTTTTGTTTCTCACTAACTAACGAAAAACCATTTAATGATTCAGAACCAATCCCAGTAACTCCCTGTGAAATTACTAATGTAGAATTCAGTGTATAAAATATCTCCAAAGCAATCAGTACATTGAAACACTCCTACACTGATGGACCAGATGGTATTCCATCTAGCATGCTAAAACGCGGAGGTGATGATATGTGTGTTTTGCTTCTCAAACTATTCGCGATATCACTCTCTTCAGCGTGTTACCCTACTGCCTGGAAAACTACACATATCATTCCCAAAATTAAAACAGGACCTGAAGCAAACGTTGAAAATTACCGGCCTATAAACATAACTTCAGTGGTATCCAGAGTGATGGAAAAAGTAGTTAAGGCGGCTGTAGTCCAACATCTATTAACTAACAATCTCTTGTCGACCTCCCAGCATGGATTTCTTAGGTCCAGATCATGCGATACATGCCTAGTAGACTACCTGAATGATATAACTCTGAAACGAGACAGCGGACTCCTTGTATCAGTCCTATTCCTAGACTTTAAGAAAGCCTTTGATAAGGTCCCACACAAAAGGTTACTCGTCAAACTAAAGTCCTTCGGAATACACAACCCACTGTACTCATGGTTTGCTTCGTTCTTAACAGAACGTAAACAGATGGTAAAGTACAATGACTGTCTCTCGTCCCCTAGACCAATCACCAGTGGAGTCATCCAGGGAAGCGTATTAGGGCCACTTTTGTTTCTTATGTATATAAACGATATATGTAACATCATAGAATTTGGGAAACCGTACTTATATGCTGATGATCTCAAAATAGTATACAGCTATAAGCCTGAGACACTAAGCGAAAGTGTATCCCAGATCCAAAAGGACCTCAATAACTTAACTATATGGAGTGAAAAATGGCAATTACCATTTAACCTCAACAAGTGCGGGATCATGCACTTTGGAAAGCATCCCTATAAACCGCGACTTCACTTAAATGAATGTATAGTCCAAACACTCGAATCAGTACACGATTTAGGAATTAATTACACAGGAAGCCTAAACTTTGAAGAACATGCCTCCTCTATTATTTCTAAATCTAGACGGCTAATTGGTTTTATAATGAAAAACTTTTTCACAACAGAGGGTAAACTTACTCTCTACAAAATATGTGTACGACCCACCCTTGAATACTGCTCTTTTGTCTTCCCTAATATGAATATCGCAGACAAGATAAGAGTAGAAGATGTTCAAAGACGTTTCACACGTCAACTACTAGGATGTAACTCGAATCTCGATTACACAGACAGATGTAAGCATCTATCTTTAGAACATTTATGGCACCGTAGGCTAAAAAACAATCTAATATTTCTCTACAAAGCGATATATGGGCTCTCCTTTTTAACCTCCTGCCCGACTATCACCCACGACCCAGCCTATAGACTTAGAAACAACGCATATACACTACTTACCGTAAAACACCAAAAGCAAATGCGTTGTAAGTTCTTTACAGTACGGTACAGTTTATTGTGGAACAGACTGCCAATGCCTATCCGTAACTGTGATACGTTTACCAGATTCATAAAGCTAATAACCCTATTTCTAGACTCCAAAGAGCTTCAACATTACCTTGAACTCCCGCCCACCGATGAGGCACTTTATTACGGACCGCCTAGTATCTAGAAAGAACAGAATTATAACAAGCTCGACTGTTACTAATCTAAATATAACCAAATCACAGGATATATGGCTTATCCTTTCCTATTATTCATTGTTTATTAATCATGATTTCATGCTCCTAACCCTAGCTTTCAGTTCCCAAATCTCTACAGGTTAAATGTACATTATTCTTCCTAAAAGTCATGCTTTTTTTTCTACTGCAAGTAGACAGATAGCTCAATCTTATGGTTGCTGATCTACTAAGGCCGATCATTCAAAGCTCAAAATTTGGCCACAAAGTCTTGTGAGTTTCTCAATGTTTTATCTTTCTCACCCTAAAGTCTTTTTCTTTTTTTTTCTCTACAATTTTATACCCTCTCATATCTTTTGATTTACTATTAATCCTTACTTCTTTAAACCATTAGTTATTTTCATAGCAGTGTGATATACTATATGGACATCTAACCCATAAAGCAGAATTTTTAAATATCTGATTTGCTTGTAACATGGACCTAGTAGAGACAGTGTATTCCAACTATGTGCTTTGATTAAAGCATTAATCATACTTACCACAAACGTAAGAGAGCCTAACATCACAAAAGGAGGGAGGGTGGCGTTACTGACCAGCAAACATGAAGGTGGGGAGATAACTTCAATCCACCCATGTCTGTAGGGCAGAACATTTTGTTTAATTACGGCTCCTTATGGTTTAGTGGGATGTCACGGACTTAAGGTATTGAAGCTGATCTATCACGCAAAATACCTCTTTAAATCGTGTTACGAACGTTGAATTGGTTTCACTTCCTACTCAGAAATCCTATTACAAGCAAACTAGACAATTCGCTAATATACGAAGCCTACTCAAGACCCTATAAAACCTGAAAAAAAAGAAATAAAAAAAAAACGAAAGGGGCTCTAATAGCTTCGATAATAAAAGGAAGATAGCCAGTTGTATATCACAATACTGTTTCTAGCACTATATTTTATTTTATAATCACACATAATCTTATACTCTCAGCTCTTTTCCGAATCGCCTCCATTTGTCAGTTGTATGTCCACTCACACCTTGCTAAAGCTTATTTTCTTTAACCTATTAAAATGCTCTTTCTTAACAAATACCTTAATAAAAGAAAATTAGACTGAGTAATCATACCTTAAACATTCCTACATGAATATTGGCTACTCTGCCTCTCGTGTTTTTTTTTACTTGCTCCCTCTTTCAGCCCCCTTGAGATATGGAACAGGTTACTTCATCCTGCACCATCCTTAAAGCCTTGAATATCCCAAAGGGACATAAGGTTGCGATTTCTAGAAGCTCATGCCTTTAATGGACCTATTCTTGACCATCAGTCGCACATTCGGCAAGGTTTAAACGTTAGGTCCTTTTGAAATGTACCCGCCCTTTCGTTTCAACGACCTTGAACGGCCTGACTAGAGGCGGTCATTCCGTATTTCAATTGCCGTAGGTTGGTTGGATTGCATGAGTATCAAGTTTTTTCATATATAAGTCATTTTATGCTACATAAAAAAGCACGAAATAAATACCAAAACCATTAATTTAGCGTTCTCTGTTTTGTAGTGTACACTTTGGCTCTGTTGTTGCTTTGTAATTTGACCTGTGATCCCAACAACTGTAGTAAAGCTCAACGAAATGTCAAGTCACAGGTAAATCCTAAGTATTTGTAGTATTTCCTTGGGTTATTATTGTTGCAAGGAATAACTTTTTAATAATTAGTCATGTCTGTTTTTAGTGCTTCATGCTCAAGTGACATTTCAGTCGACGTAACCGATGCCTTTCGAAGTATCATATGATACTGAATAAGCGTTTCGTGTTGTGGGATGATTTTGATATCGCCTTAAAAGAGTTCCAAGAAGTATGGAATTATAATTTTATCGCTTCTCAGACTACTTATACTCGTTACATCCACACAGAAAGCAGATTGCTGAAGGATGTCAGGTTCAAATACCTGTTTGTATCGTTTAATTGTACGTTTGGTCATAGACGGAAATCGGAAGATTTGAAAGTGAGGCAAAAATCGTAAAATCTTTAACTAGTATCTTATGTTTAAGGTCTAAATTCCGTGTAAGACTTGAGGAGCAAGGATATGTCATCAAATCCTACAACATGCTCCACAATCATCCATGTAGTAGTTCATGGATGGTATTTGATCCATGGACAAGGAGATTATCGTCAGAAGAAAAGGAGAACTTGAAGCCCGTAATACTTCACTGTGAGTCAGCAGATGAAGTTATCGAAAATATTAAGGAGAGAACTGGTAAGCAAGTAACTGCTGCCGATGTCAAAGGTATGAAAGCTGCACTCTCCACTGGTAAGTGTATATAAATATATTTCAGGTTGTTTTACTCGGAAGCAGGTAATGGATATGCTTAGACAGAAAGGTGAAGTGAAGGAACATTTAGAAAATGGATATGCCACTAGAATATGTGTCAATATCCCTGCCGTCACATGCTACTTGCCTACGTTAAAAGACGAAATCTTACAGGTAAGCTATATCAATTATGAAATACTAACTGCATAGCTCATCAACTTCTTAGGTATTGTAGCAGATGGAAGTTACATAATACCCAGAACTTCCAAAATAATACATTAACTGCATTACCACGACGGAGTGAAGTGTATATAAGTATTCAACGAAGCCAAAGAATCCATAAGCATCGCATCATTGAGAAATATGGTGAACGTTTCGCAACGGAAGTTGAGAAGAAAGTGGACAATTATTACTTAAGAATTCTTAATACCAACTTGTAAACTTGATTTTCTGCTTTAGCAGCAATGATTATTCAATAAACTTTCATAATTTTAATTTTCATCTTATTCCTACTTTCATGGGAATGAATAGCAATGACGTTCATGTGTAACTGTTTGTAATAATTAAGAAACCCTACATCCACGTACAGTCTTGCGGATTAGGCACCCACATATCATATTCACCTTCGTCGGATTACGTTTATAATTAAAATCGTATCAGTAGCTAAGATTTTAATTTCATGTGATTAGTTCCGCTTATGAATTAAAATGAAACCAGGAGAAATGTTGATTAACAGTGGTATGCATTCCTTATAACTAAATATGCATTAGGATTTAACGGTGATGTGGGAAACAGTTGACATACCTTAATATGAATAATTGAAATGACGTGGGTTATCAATAATGACTATATATATGTATATATATATATATATCAGTCAGTCAGTCAGCTACAACGTAGGACCAGGCACATATGTGCATCGGTCCAGGTTGCCATACCTAATTAGCACAACAAGATGAACACCGGATTCATAGGAGTGGTTAGGTCAAAGGTTGCAATAAGGATATAGTATAGGAAGGAAGAATTAGTTCGTATGAAGTGATTTTAATCTCTTAGTTTAAGGGAAGACAAAGAGTGTATACACCGACGCCATTGTGATTGATTCTGAGCCATGTCACCAAGAGTCTCCAACCATTGGTTACGATAGTCACGCGGACCCCAACCAAGTAGTCTGCATCTACCAACATGGCTCAGACTAGAAGTTAGTGACTTCAAGCACTGATGCCACGTTTTGGTTTGGCCGCCCCTAACTTTCTTCCAACCATCCCCTACACCGGTTAGCATTGCACGTCGTGGTAATCGGTGTTCAGGCATACGTAATACGTGGCCCAACCATCTCAGTCGATGAAGATTCATAACCTCATCAACTGATTTACCATCATTCCCTAATACCCTGCGTCTAACCTCACTATTACTTACCCGATGATCCCAGCAGATGCCAGCAATATTTCTAAGGCATCTGTGGTCAAATACTTGTAGCTTACGGGTGTCTTCTACTCTTAAAGGCCATGTTTCGCTGCCGTAAAGTAAGACAGAACGGACTGCCGCGCAGTATACTCGTCCTTTTATTGATAGACGGATATCTCGCCTTCGCCATAGGTGGCGCAAGTTGGCAAAAGCCAATCGAGCTTTTCGAATCCGTGCTGAGATTTCGTCAGACACCAACCCATTAGGGCTGATCAGACTTCCAAGATAAGTGAAGTTGTCGACGCGTTCGACTACTTCACTCCCTATCCTTAGTTCAGGTGTTGACGCAGACCAGTCCTGAAGCAACAACTTGCATTTAGAGGGAGAGAAGCGCATCCCAAACATTCTGACATTGTTGCTTAGTGCTACCAGAAGACTCTGCATTTTGTCAGCGTCTTCACCAAACAGGACTATATCATCTGCGTATTCTAAGTCGATAAGTGGACCTCCTGGTAGGAGATCAATACCCGAGAATTCAGTCGACGAGAGTGTTATTTCCATCAATAGGTCTATGATGAAGTTAAACAAAAATGGAGAAAGTGGACAGCCTTGACGGACACCACTTGAAGTTGCAAAAGTAGATGACAGTTCGCCATAAGCTCTGACTCGACTAGTAGTGTTCGAGTAAAGAGCCTTCACAAGGTTTATGTACTTCTGAGGTACGCCTTTCAATGACAGACACTGCCACAGAGTCTCGCGGTCTACAGAGTCAAACGCTGCTTTTAAGTCAAGAAAGACCACCATCGTCGGACGCCGATAGGTATGCCTGTGTTCTAGAACCTGACGAATGGTGAATATGTGGTCGATGCAGCCACGACCAGGTCTGAAGCCAGCTTGGTTCTCTCGAGTTTGTAGTTCACGAGTCTTAGTTAGGCGTCTGATAATTATCGAGGCTAGTATTTTAGATACTATGTTTGTTAAACTTATCCCTCTGTGGTTGTCACAGGATGATTTTGACCCTTTCTTATATATTGGGACGATAAGTGATTGCGACCAGTCAGATGGGATAAAGTCTAATTCCCAGATCTTAGCTAAAATGTTAGTCAACCTAATCGCTAAAATTGGACCACCATCCTTAAAGACCTCTGGAGCCAATCCATCTGGACCAGCTGCCCTTCCTCGTTTCAGATTAACTATAGCCTTTTGAACTTCAGCAAGAGTTGGGGGACCTACTTCAATGTTCCATTCACATTATCTGGGAATGGAGGGTAGTTGTAGAGTAGCTGAAGGCCAGCTGAACTGTTCTCTAAAATGTTCCGCCCATCGTTCTAAACGTCTGGACTGGGAGCAGATGAGAGTATCATCTTTTTCCGAAATAATCTCACTTACACTTGACTTATTAATTCCAGTTTCTTTTATTAGTCTGTAAAGCTGTCTTGTGTTCCCTATAGTCGCCGCCTTTTCCATCTCTTTTGCTTTCGTTACCCACCACTGCTCACGGTCGTTCCTTAGACTTTTTCTTAACCTAGATCTGATTTGTTTTCGCTCTTCATCATGTTCAGAACCTGATGGGACGAGTTTGCGAGAATCCATCAGTGTGACAGACCTTGAAGAAATCCACTGGTTCCTTGCAACTCTGTGGTTTAAGTCACTAATAGATGTCACTGCTGTTTCCACAGCTGATTGTATGCCCTTCCAAGCAACATCTGGGTCAGCCTCGTCTTCACAACTACCTAATCGTGACCTCAGTTGTTCCTGGAACCTACTTTTGGTTTCCTCGCTACTCAGTTCGGTCCTAATGGGTCTTTTTACCGAGGCTTTTTTGCGTCCAGTGAGGCGCAAGCAGATGCGTGCCCGTATTAGGGCGTGGTCGGAGTCCAAGCAGGTACTCCAGAATGAGCGACAATCTTCTACCGACCCTCTCCAACGATGACTGATGGCAATATGGTCTATTTGAGTCCATCGTTGGTTTGGTGTAGGGGGTCGCCATGTTAGACGATGTCTCTCCTTATGCTTAAAATTTGTGTTTGCTAAAAATAAACGATTGTCTGAGCATAGCTGCAGCAGGCGATCACCATTATCTGTTCGCTGTGTCGGAATACTAAAATATCCACCTAAATGCCTTTCTGTTTGGTTTAAGCTACCTATCTGAGCATTAAAATCACCTGCTACGAGTACTATGTCTGAGCGTTTAGCTTTCTGAAGAAGTTCGGACAGCTTTCTGTAAAATTCATCTTTCACTTCATCTGAGCTGCAGTCAGTGGGAGCGTAGACAGAAACGACAAAAAGGCAACGACGTGTGTCCCTATCCTTCCGAGTTCTTATGGAGCCGTTTAGCCGAACAGCACATAGACGACTGTTGACGGGTATCCACTCTAGCAGTGCTTGTTCCGCCCTCATGCTTAGTGCTATGCCTACACCTGCCAGTCCACGAGAACTGGCCATCGGGTCACCAGATACACGAAGGGTGTATCTCGTTGGCTCTCCGTTTTGCCGAGGTGAGCTCAAGTGAATGACCACACTGGGATCCTGTATGCGTGTTTCGGAGACACAGCATACATCAATGGAAAGAGACTCTAGGGTTTTAGCCAAGGAAGCCTGCTGACCGATTTGACATAGAGTGCGTACGTTGAAAGCTCCAATGTGTAGTTTGGAGCGAGGTTTCAGTAGACCTGGGACAGAGTTTTGAGCACTAGAATCGTTGGCTATGGTGATACTTGAGGAGGAAGCCGAAGGAGGAAGTTTAGAGTTGAAAGTCGATGTAGGAGGAATAATAGGAATTGAAGAGGAAGGTTGATTATGAATACAGTGGTCTTGGGTGCTGTTAGAGGTATGAGGGCGGTTATCACTTCCCGGTTGCCCACACCGTGGAAGGGTTCTTCTGGAGGTACCTGAAAAGGAAATTGGATTAGAGGTGGTCTCAGTGACCTGAGAGCGTGACCGCAGTGCCCAAGGGACAACTGCTTGAGGCCGGTCGCGCACGGCCTTTTTGTGGAAGGTTTTCGACGTGTTAGCTCCGTTCTTCAAAGGGCCTTACCGCCGGAGACGGAAATCCGTGAGGTAAGGTGAGGTGTGCATTTTTAGGGTCGACCTTTTCTAACCCCACCCCTCCTTGTGGGAAGGCAGCATCGCTGTCATGCTGGTTGTCTGAAGGAAACACCTTACTGCTGTCACACCTCTGTACAGTCAGCAGTACGACTTCGCCTTCGGACCTTGGGTTTGTTGCTTTTAGTCTTACCGCTCTTCAACCGACCTGTCTGACATGGTAGGACCTTGAGGAACGGTTGTTCCAGCCAGTATAGCTCGGTTGCTTCATCACGATAGGCAAGCCCGACCACCACGTCAAGGTAGCAACAACGGTCGGGATATATATATATATGCAGTTTAAGGTCAAAGGTCATTTGTTTTTACAGTCAACAACACATTAAGAATGGGTGGTGTAATAGTGGACTGGAGTTCACAGACAGATAAGTGGTGTGAAAATCTTATAGCTTGTAAATGATCCGTGGATTTAGGAACTGAAAACTTGGGTGACGTAATAATTGATTACAATTTGCAGAGGTTACATAATTACAGAGGATTAAGTGACAGGGTGCTGGAATAAATCGGTAACTAAATTTTAAAGGTGAAATGAATTATTACATAATCCATCTTATTACTTGTTCATTCCATGGATTATAAGGAGTTCATAATATTCTCTATCTATATTTGTTCTAGCGTCATATCGACTATTAATAAATACGGACAAGGTTTATAAAGTAATACACTGAATGTAGTTGCTATATTTATATTTCACTAATTCATTAGTTGAATAAAAATGTTACTAGGCAATACGGAACACAGTTAACGTGAACTTGTAAACCGGTTTTTAACATGGTCTTCCATAATCACAAATTCTATAAGTTGTAGACCGGCGTAAACATCATCACAAAGCTTTGACTTTATTGGATTCATACAATTCTGAAAAACAAACAAATCAGCCGTGAAATAAAGAATTAGACCTAGTTATCAGTGTCACATTCAATAAGTCAATCAAATAGCAGGTTACAGAATGCACCTATAAGTCTCTTATTTGCAGACAGCGCTAA